AGTCCCCAAGTTCCATCAATCTTTTGATGAAACTCTTAAAATTATAACATGTTAGAATTGGCTTCTGGCAACTATCTATATATATAAAAGCCTAAGTGACCATCCAACCATTTGACCATTCAACTGGTAGCTATGACACACACTGACCACCAGGGGGGAGATGCTCAATGCCCAGGCATGAAAACATGAAACAGACTGATGAATCTCAGAGGGAAGGGGGATGGGGGAGGGTGGAAAGAGATTAACCAAAGATCTTATATGCATATTAGAGGCCTGTTGCACAGATTTGTTCACCAGTAAAGTCCCTCAGCCTGGCCTGCAGGGATTGGGTTGAAACCAGCAGTCAGACATCCCTGAAGGGGTCCCTAGTGAAGAAATAAATAGATGGACATTCTTTGCAGTCATTTTCTGCCTCTCATCATCAAGACAATTACTGACCTGATTTCCACGTCAGAGTTGGTTGTTCTCTTCTACACACATGCGCACCATCATAGTGTGCTGCCATCAGGGCTGGTTCTTCTGCTCAGCATCATGTTTTGATGCAGTAGTTTGTTATTATTTATTATTGAGTAATGAGTAATATTCAAATCTGCCAATATTCTGAGATCAATTTACACGTTTTCAAAATCTCAGGCATAAGCTTAGATTTTTAATTGTATTCCTTTCTTCCTATGTAAAACACACACACACACACACACACACACACACACAAACAAACCCACAAACATTTCATCTAAGGACTGCTTTGGGTGTGTTCTATACATTTGTATACAGGGCTTTTATCACCATTTAATTCAAACTAGTTTTAAATTGCCATTGTGATTTCTTCTAATTTAGAGGAGTGTTGGTTAACTTCCAGATATTTGAGGATGTTCTAAGTAATATATTAGTATCAGTTCCTAAGGTAATTTAATTGTGGTGAGGGAACAACCTGTCTGGTTTCATCAAGACTTTATCATGTGGAACGCGCTCTCTCTTAGAGATGTCCCCGTGTACAAGGTGCATGTGCGGGTGTGCCCTCACATACTGCACGGACTGTCATTAGGCTACTTTCACTGACAGAGTTGTTTGAAACTTCTATACCTTTGATATTTTTTTTCCATTTATTTAGTCAGTTCTTGATAATGTTTAAAGACAACTAAAACTGAGGATTTTTCTCCTTTTTGTTTCTGTCAGTTTTTGCTCATTGTGTTCTGAATCTCTAATGTACCTTCCTACACATTTAGTGTTTTATGTCTTCATGATAAATTGACCCTTTATAATTTAAAAAAAAAAATGTTTCTTGTCTTTTGCAGTATATAGCCTACTTTGTATGATATTAATAGAGGAATTTCAGGTTTATTATGCCTACTATTTTCACATAACATCGTTTCCCATCCTTTTACTTTCAACCTGTCAATTTATTTATTATTAAAAAACAAGAGGCCTGGTGCATGAATTCATGCATGAGTAGGGTCCAGCCAGCCTTCCCCAATGGGGGCCAATTGGGCTGGGCCAGTGACGGGGGGGGGGGGGATCAGGGGCAGGGCTTGCCGGGGAGGCCACAGGAGGTTGGTTGGCTGGCCCCACCCCCAACTGTGGTAGGGGGGCCAGTTGGGGATGGGGCCGGCCTGGGGGAAGGGCTGCAGGGGATTGGGGGGGCCAATCAGGGCCCCAGGCAGGCTGGTTGGCTGCCGCAGTGCACATAATAGTGACCTGTCATTCTGGTCATTTCGTCATTCCAGTCACTTGGCTTTTATATATATATAGATGAGTATCACATAAAAAGCTCACAGACAGGTCTTTTTAAAAAATTTAGACTTTTGCCATTTAACTGAAATTGCACTCAACTTTTTAATGCAATTATCAATAGGGTAAGTTTAAGTATACTATTGTAAAATTTATTATTATTTTTTCCTGTTATTTTTCCTTTTTTTTTCTCATTTGCTGCCTTATTTTGTATTAGACCAAGACTGTTGTTGCTCTTTGTTGTTGTTTTCCAGCATTTCATCTTTGCATATTTATTGCCTTTTTGGCTTTACCTTTTATTTTATTTTTATGCATCTGGAACTTATTGTAGTTTACCTCAAATTGACATCATATTGGTTTATATATAATGCTAGGGCCTTTCAATAGTATAATTTTATTTATCCTAAATTTCATCCTTCATGTTTTTTTTGACAAATGTTTACTTGTGCATATGTCATAAATACCATAATACATTATTTTTATTTCGACTATGTGTTGACTTTTAAAATGTTTAAGAAAGGAAAGAAAACTAGTCTTTCATTTTTACCCAAATATTTACCACTTTGAGTGCTTTTCATTCCTTTCTATACACTGAAAGTTCTATATGGCATCAATTTCTTCTGATTGTAGAACTTATTTGGCAATTCTTAATGGCAGGTTATAGGTCATAAACTATCTCAGCTTTTGCTTATAAAACATACTGTTGTTGTTGTTTTTTTAGATTTAAAAGTTATTTTTGCTGGATATAGAATAATACGATAACAGTTTCCTACTTTAACAATTGTCAGTCTTCATTGTTTCTCAGCTCTCATTTGTATGTTGTTAAATTACTGCAGCCATGCAGCTGTCTTGGGTATGCAGTAGCTTTAAAGAATCCAACAGGGCCTTGGAATTCACAGGAGAGTGAGGAGATCTTTTCTTGTTTTTCATCTCCACCTACAGCTTCCTGCATTGTTATGTGGTGCTTGTCTTTGATCTTGTCAGAAGGTGAACTTGGTGAGAGTTTAGTCTCAGCTTCCTCTAGACTCTACCTGCCACCACCTTTAATGTTTCTGAGCTGATTGTAGGCTTCTAGATCCAGGAGGGCCCTGGGACCATACATTACACACTTTGAGATCTCAAAAGTTTGGGTCTGCTTGGACATGAAACTGTGAAACTATGAAACTGCAAATGATAAGGCCCTGGGTTAGTGGGGCTTTTTGAAACTGTGAAATTTATGATTAAAAGACTGAACAACAGAGGATTAAGTTGATTGAACAATGTTACATAATCATCCAGGATATTGCCCCCTAAGATGTGAATTCAGGATCCTCCCATTGGAACACACAATGCATGAGCAGAGGGATCCTATAAAGGACTCCACGCTCACAAAATAAGTCTTTTGTCTGGAAATATGCAACCAGGACTTCAATATCAGTTTAAAATGCACTCAATCTACTAATTGTATAGAACCCAGAGAGGGCACCCCATCACCCCATTGAAAGTTAAGTAGGTAAAAGATGCTCCTGACCCAGGGACTTCACATGGCCGGGGATGGGCTATAGCACATGTGACTGAGGGAGTCCAGAGGAATGAGAGGCTCTCCTGCTAGACTGTAGCAAAATGTGAAATGTCTTCACTCTATCCAAAACAATGCAAAACCGCAGAACTATCATGCCCCACCTCCCCACCAAAAATTAAAAAAGCATGTATATATCAAAGAAGTATGAGTGCAAGTGAATTTTAAAAAGAACTATACAAGGAAGAGTCCTTCCTAAGTGAGCAAGGGATTGAGGGAATGTTTTACCTGTGCCAGTTGCTAAAGTTAGGAGTGAGACATATGGAAGGACCAGCCTGCCAAATAAAGATATTCTTTTTTTATAAAGAGAAATTGGGAAAAACTGAGAAATCTGTGGAGTGTGAGATTTGAATCTTGAGGAATTTCTCTCCACCAACTCATTTGCTTCAAAAGGGTTTTGTTGCAGATACAGCTGAAAAATAGGAAGTGGCTTTTTCATAAGCCATTTTGTAATTTTAATGATTATATCAATTGTTTAATGTCAGAGTTATTAGCTAGTATGTGTTTTGTGTGCAGCACAAATGTCAGATTGTTCAAAGTGTCCTAGATCCACAAGTGTTTAAAGATACACCAGGTTGAGTTTTGAGTCTTTGAAAATGGATTTCACTAAATAGATAAAGCATTTACTTGGTGTTCACTTTGGTCATTTGAGAAACCAATGGGTCTTTTACTTACTGGTTGGCTTGAAGGACATTAGCCAGGAGGCTTTAGCTGTGAATACTTGAATCAGGAAAGAGGCCGATGATGACTGATAAGAAAGAAGCAAACAGTGTGCTAGCTGGCACGTACAATTGGAATGATGGGTTCTGTGGGTGGAGAGTGGTGACGGATGGCGGAACAACAATATGAATGTACTAAATGCCATTGAAGTATAGACTTTAAAATGGTAAAATTTACGTTGTGTATATTTTACCCTAATGAGAAAATAAAAATTTCAACTCCAGAAATCATTTATTCAAATGAAAGCTGGGAGGTATAATTTTAGCTTCCATGTTTTATGTTCCTTTGCTTAAATTTCACAAGGAACTGGGGAAAGGAATTACATAAAAAATGGATCCTCCTGTTTCCCCTCTAATAACTGTCACCCTAGAATCTTTGAAGAGTCTGGGGCTGTAGAAAACCCACAGGCTTAGGAATAGGAAAACATTGGCATTGGGTCGCAGTCCCACTACTAGTATTAACCAAATGGACAAATTGAAGACTTTTTTCTTCCCCCTTTTTTTCTTTCTAGGCGTCAGTGTTTTGTTTTGTTTTTATCTGGAAAATGGTAATAATGGAAGGTGCTTAGCATAGTGAGTGCCCTCAATTATTAGTAACAATTACTTAAAAAATGCCATTCCTTCAAGAGGGCACTGCCGGTGGTTTTCCATCCCACAGTGATATGAGCATCAGGGATATCAAAGCTTCATTGCATTACCCACTTTCTAACGCTTCTAGGTGTCACATCATATGACTTGCTAGGATTGACTTATTGATAAAACTGAAGGGGGGATTAAAGAATAATGTACAGTGTTTCCAAAAACATATAACAACATATAATGCAGAGTTTTCAGCCCAGTCTGATTTCCTTTGAAATATCTGTGGAATTGAGAATGTCCTTGGGCAGGCGTGGTGGAGTAACATGTGTGGGTCTGCACCGCTTTCCCTGGAGCTCTGGCATGTGAAGGAGATGCCCCACCTGTGACAGATCTCACTGGGCCTCTTCTCTCTGCAGACCTTTGCCGGGAACACGAATGCAGACGGCGTGATGCACCACAGGCTGCTGCACCCCGTGAGAGCCCGGTTCGTGCGCTTTGTGCCCCTGGAGTGGAACCCGAGTGGGAAGATTGGCATGCGGGTTGAGGTGTACGGATGCTCCTACAGTGAGTACCCACGTGGGCCGCCAGCACTGGTGTCTTTGGGAGGGCACTAGCCACACAGTGCCAGTTTATCTACATGGAGAAAGGCAATCTCAACCGTTTTACATATTCTATGGGCTTTAATAACCTACAAACATTTGAAAATGTGAAATTCAACCCAGGGAAGAGAAAAAACAAACAAACACTTCTTCTATTTAGAAATGAAGGAGCTTCGTTCGAGGTAACAGATGATGATAGCTTAACAAAAACAAAACAAAACAAAACAAAAACAAAAACAAAAGTTCAAAATTAGCGGCTTTTGAAGTTTGAGTTGCCATTTTTCCTTGCAATAAGATAATAATGTAAGCTCAGTTCTTTCCTAGCCATGGGTGAGTATGAGATAGTTCTCCCCTTTCTCAGAGCCAGGAGGAGAGAAAGAAACCTTCTCCTGTTTACTTCTCTAGAAGAGAAGGAGAAGGAACATTTCCACCCAGGGCACCCTGGGTTCTCTGTCCTGGAATTATGCTGCCATTATTTCCTCTGGGAGTTGTTTGCACTGAACTTAAAATCAGAGCCTATCTTGTATATAGAGAAGATTGTAAACATGGGTAGTACAGATGACCACTCTAAAAGAAGGTCAAAATTATACAAGAAAATTTTCCACCCCAATAATTCTCCTCCTTCAGGTTTTATATTTAAATCTAAAACTGTGTAAAAATAGATAGTTTTCCTGCCTTAGCAGTGACATATATGCTATAACTTCTAATAAAAAACACATTTGATCACTATCACTTTAGTATAAATTAGTTCAATAGATTCCTGGTTTGGGTGACAAGAGAGCCTAATGGGTTGCATGTGTGTACTCTTTTCCACTGTTTGACCACTAAGCACCTGCAGAATCATAGGAGAGCTTCTTAAAAATGCACTTTCTTAGCCCAGTCCTGTTCGCACTGGACTACAGCTTCTGGGGGTAGGGATTCAGAAAGCTGAGTGTTCACAAGCTCCCCAGAGATGCTATGGACATAGAGTGTTACTGAAAATAAAGTCCTGCACAGAGGAAATTCACTTCTGAAATGACTGTCTTTATCTTGACCAAGCCCCTTCAGGAAGAATGTGTTTTACAACAGATGGGTCGACAAACCATTATGTCAAGGAGATGCTGCCGCCCACAGCAGCCTTCACAGCACAAAGCACAGGACATCTATATTCACAGGCCACCCATCCAAGCATCCTGGGCATCCAGATTATCTCATTGCCTCTTTTCTCTGTTTTAAAAATCAATCAATTAATTTTATTTAATTGTATTTAGCATATGATATTATATTAGTTATATTAGTTTCAGGTGTACAATATAGTGATTTGAATATAATGATTTGATATTTTTACAACTTACATTGTGATTACCATACTAATTCTAGTATTCATCTGTTGCCAAGTACACCTAATACAATATTATTATCCTACATAATAAAAGCCTAATATGCTAAGTGTCTGATCATCCAATCATCCATTCAACCAATCAAAGCATAATATGCTAATGATATGCTAAGGCTGCTCAACCACTTACTATGATGTGCACTTCCCACCAGGAGGCAGATGCTCTGACAGGTAGGTTAGCTTGCTGCTAGGGTCTGGCCTATCAGGACTGAGTGAGACAGGCTGGACATGCCCTGGGCCCCTCCCACACCCCTCCCCAACCCCAATCATGCACCGGTAGGGTCCCTCAGCCCCGCCAGCACCCTCTTGCAATCCAGGACCCCTTAGGGGATGTAGGAGAGACAGTTTTGGCCCGATCCCGCTCAACGCAGGAGCTGCACCCTGGTGGTCTGTGTGCTCCCACAGGGGGAGCGCCGCTCAGCCAGAAGCTGTGCTCACAACAGGCAAGCGCAGCACCAGTGGTGGGAGCCTCACCCACATTCTCAGCAGTGCTAAGGATTTCCGACTGCTGGTTTAGGCCCGCTGTTGTCAGCCGGACATCCCCTGAGGACTCATGGACTGCAAGAAGATGCAGGCTGGCTGAGGGAGCTCCTGCTCTGAGTGCATGAATTTCATGCACTGGACCTCCAGTTGCCTATATTCCTCATCACCTTTTTCACCCAAAGCCCCATCCCTTTTGGCATGATCCTTTTGACCCTTCTTTCTATGAGTCTAATTTTGTCTTGTTTTATTTGTTTATATTCCATATATGAGTGAAACCTTATGGAATTTGTCTTTCTCTGTCTGACATATTTAACTTACCATAATACCCTCTAGGTCCATCCATGTTCTCATAAATTACTAGATTTTATTCTTTTTTTAATTGCTACATAATATTCCATTATAATTGTAAGGCCTGAAACCATAAAACTTCAAGAAGAACACATAGATAGTAAACTATTTGACATCAGTTGAGTAATATCTTTTTGGATATCTTCCCTTGAGCAAAGAAAACTAAAGCAAAAATAAACAAATGGGACTTCATCAAACTAAATCACTCTGTACAGCTAAGAAAACCATCAACAAAACAAAAAGACAACCTACGGAATGGGAGAATACATTTGCAAATTATATATCAGATAAGGGTTTGATATCCAAAATATATAAGGAATGCATACAACTCAATAACAAAAGATAAATAAACAGCCCTGCTGGCATGGCTCAGTAGTTGGTCAAGTGTGGACCTATGAATCTAGCGGTCACTGTTCTATTCCCAGTCAGGGCTCATGCCCTGGTTTGTGGGCTTGATCCCCAGTGGGGATTGGGGGGAGGGTGTATAGGAGGCAATCGATCAATGATTCTCTTTCATCATTGATGTTTCTATCTCTCTCTCCCTCTCCCTTCCACTCTGAAATCAATAAAAATATATTTTAAAAAGTTAAACAATTCAATAAAACTTGGGCAGAGGACATAAAAGACATTGTTCCAAAAAAGAGAAACAGGTGGGCAATAGCCATATGAAAAGATATTCAATATCAATAATCATTAGGTTAATAAAAATCAAAACCACAATGAGATACCACCTCATGCCTGTTAGAATGGCTATAATCACTAAATCTACAACAACAACAAAAATGTTGGCTAGGATGTGGAGATAAAGGAAACTTTTATCTACTGTTGATGGGACTGCAAATTGGTGCAGATGCTATGGAAAACAGTAGGGAGATTCCTCAAAAATCTGAAAAGACTAGATCTACTATAAAACCAGCAATTCTACTTCTGAGTATTTATCTAAAGAAAATTAAAACAGGAATCCAAGAAGACATGTGCACCCCTATGTTCTTTGCAGCATTATTTACAATAGCCAAGATATCCTAGGTGTCTATTGTAGGATGAATGATAAATGGATAAAGAAGTTGTGGTATGTATGTTGTTAAATCTTCTCTTGATGACAGTTGTTACTACTAGAGGGTTAATTTTTAAGTGTAACATGAACCTTTTATGCTGAACTACTTATCACTTCAACTATCTATTTTGGTTTAATAACCCCATTACGTGTTAACATGTCCTCATATTTTTGTGTTCTCTCAGTCCAGTTAGTTGCCCTTGTTTTTTATGGTGGTGTTGTTGCTGCAAGGAAGACTCATACCATCAAGTTAAATAAAAGACTGCAAGTTTGAAGAAGACCTTTGAGAAGCATGCCTAGCTACCACTGGTGTGGATCTCTTTGTTAATATGATGGCAGCAAGGGGTCCTCTTTTAAGTAAAGTGCCTACAGTGATAAGCAAATTGTTCTACAATATCTGGAGGTTCATAGATCTGCTAAAGCCTGATTCTCGACCAAGCTAATTGTTTTTGTCTTTGAAGTAGCTCAATACTATGTGGACTCCTCCCCAGGCATGCTCCATGTCTAGTAAGTACATCTAAGGGAATAAACTACCTCCAGGTAAATATCCTAGTGATGAGCAGTTAAACACCTTCAAGGGCTGCTGGACACAGAAGGTCCTCTGTGATGATCCTTGAGCTGGTCCTGTGTGTTGATACTTTTTCCTTCAGAAAAAAGAGAACGTTTCACAGTTTCTCTCCAAAACCAACATCTCAGCGTGTCCTCTGAGTCGGAAACTCCCCTTCAACCTCACCCATCCCCCTTTTTACTGGGTTATTCCTATAAACATGCAATTTTGCTGTCTAAGCTATCAACCAAAACAAGGACAACAAAGCCCGTGGTCCTGTTTTTCAGCTTACTCTCCTCCTCTCCCCTCTTCCTCAGAGAATAGCTTCTCTCCAAAACTTGTGTTAGTTAGGATCCCATCTGCTCACCTCCCTTCATACTGCAAGTGATTTCAGTGGGTCTTTAAACATGTGGTGGTCAGTTTAATGTGTCAATTTAGCAAAGCAATAGTTGCCCGTTATTCAACTAAACACAAATCTAGGTGTTACCTAGGTGTGGTTAACATATATAATCACAATCATTTGACCTTGAATAAAGGATATTAGGCTCCATATTCTGGGTAGGGCTGATTCAGTCACTGGGAATGTTCTATGATCAGAAGGAGGTTTCCCTGAGGAAAAAGAAATTCCAGCTGTGGACTGCAACTGCTGCTCCACCCGAGCCCAGCCTGTCCAGGACACAGCACTGATCCTCTTTCTCTTGACTGAGGCAGATGCACCATAGCAACTGCTTCAGTCAAGACTGCCAGTGACCTCCACACAGCCAACCCAATGGTCACCTCATTGTTCTCACTCTACTCAACCCTCAGTTGTATTTGGTTCAATGAGCTATTTTTTCTTTCTAAAAACCTGCTCCCTCTTCTCTCTGACTTGTTACTTCTACTCAGTCACAGGCTGTCTCAGGACTTCCACTTTCCATCTACCACACCCCAAACCTAGCTGAATTACAGTGTTTCCAACATTTACACACCCACCTCTGCAGCTCCTGGCCTGACTCTGGAATTATACATGCAGTATACTTCATATGTCCACCTGAAAATCTCATCTACAGTTAATGTAGCAGAAACAATTCTTGATTACCATTCTCTCAAGGTCCTGCTCATTCACATCCCCACCTTCATCTCAGTAACGGGCTCCACCTGCTAAAGCAAAAACCA